TTGAAAGAAGGAACCGAGCGCTCGCAGACGCTTGCTGCCGAGGATCTCGAGAATTTTTCGATTACGTTTTATGAGCCCAGTTTCTCTTTCGCTCTCTTTTCTTTCTGCCTACGTATATATATACACCCACGACGGGCTTTGAGGTCCTTTCCATCAAACGAATTCAAAGAGCAAACAATTTTTCCACGTTATCTTTACTCTCGGCTGCTCTTATCCAATTTCGCAGCTCCTCCCTCGCATCTGGCGCCCGCGCTCTGTCGATCATTATTTTTCGAGATTTTCTATGGCAAGTCTGCGCAAACAATGTAATTAGTTCGGGCCGCGAGAGGAGCGCTTCGGCAGACAGAGCAGCAGCAGCTTTTGTCTCGGCCACCGCAAACTTTGTATTACCCAACGCACAACTCTGTGCGCGAAACCGCCAAGTTCGCGGCAGCTCGTGCACACGCACATACACATGAAGCATTAACTTGACTTTGCGACCGCATTATACATAGTGACTGCAAAAACAAAAGCGGCCATGATCACCGTCGGCCGTGGCGACGACGACAACAGCATCGTTGCGATTATCAAAACCGCAATAGCAAAAATTAAACAAAAAGAAAAGTCAGCTCGCGCGCGCTGAGCTACATTTCGCCTCGCTATATTTCGCTGACACCGCCGTACGTAGCAGAGTCTTTGCACTGGATGCTCTGGCCTTTCAACTACAAAAATACATTACACACAATTCCTCTTTTATAAGAGCATGTTCGTTCTTAGTAAAGCAGCAGCAGCAGCATCAGTGTGCGGCAGTTAGTAGCCAGCCGCTACGAGCTGGGAAGAGAAATAAGGCGAAAAGAGGCGGGTATTTATGCGCTAGAAGTGGCGGGCGTGTTCCTGAATTTACGAGCATACGAAAAAGATTTGTTGGAAAAAATAAAGCCCCCCGAAGAATTGGGTCGAGCATTATTTTTGAAAGGTAATTTCACTCTCGCTGCGGCGAGTATCGGATCTCGAGCGCCTCTCCGCGCGCTCTCGTTACACAGTGTATATATAACGAGAGTCGCTTATTATTTTTCGCACCTTGCGCAATCTCTTATGCCGCGAAGCTTCTTTCGAGTAAATACATGACTTTATGACTGGTTTTTTTCTTAGCACGTAATATCAGCTAGCTAATGTGTCTGAACGTGCTAATGTACGTAGCTATTAGGCTCGTTACGATCCTTCTCTTACGACACCCATATCTCCAAATACAAGTTCAAGTAATCGGCTGTACACGTAACGAGGCTCAGCTTGTCTCGGCTCGTACATCTTTTTAATTTGTGCTCAAAATTGTACACGTACGACGTTTGTCTACAAGCATATGCATAGCCATTATCGGCTGCAAATCTGAAAACAAATTCACACCTTTTATTTTTTGCAGCGAGACTTGCTTAGGTATTTAGGAAAGTTTCTCCGCGACACAATCGATGAAAAAAATCTACCGTGTCAGCGTGGCGCAGAGATCTTACGAAACGTAGCTTGCACTCTGCGAGTCGCGATATCTTGCCTCGCGCAGCAATTCAATTTTTTTCCTCCTCCTCCACTCGCTATCAATTTACAAATTCAACGCGTAATTATAAAGACTCTATCCTCTAAAGATGTTTCAAATTACCCTCGCTCCGGGACTTTGCCATTTCATTAATTGTCCTGTCATCTTTTTTTTTTGTAAACGTTTTAGTGCCATCTTCTGCTTTATCATCTTTTTTCTAGCTCCGCCGCTCTATCATCACCACCGAGGAGTTGAATCGCGAGCAACTTTCTTCGTTTACTGGGCTAACGTTGAGAACGAGATAGAGAGAGAGAGAGAAACAGCGCAAAAGTCGAGAAATATATCCTTGCGCGGCCATTGCAATTTCACTTTAAATTTTCTTTCCATTATTCGTTTATGGCCGCGTATAATAAGCTCGTTTATATGAGTGATTTGAGCTTGAAAGATATAGATATAAGCGAAAAAAAATTTCCTGGACTTAATATCCGGTACTGGCGACATGAAGTTTTGCAAAACGATAGCTAATAAACAAAACAGCTAATAACTATGAATTATAGCTTTATAAGAAAAAACTAACGAAAGCCACAAGCCGGATCGTTTCTGTAAGGTCGGCTGCTATCGAAGAGAGTCAGCAGTTTCGTCGATCGTTTGAAGCGGCTGAACGCTATACATTTTTGATTGATTTCATATATAGCTTTGGACGAATGGCGCTGCGGACGATACCAATTTGCCTAACAGCTCTCGTCGAATTTCTATAAAGAATCTTATTCTATACAGAGCGAGTACCTACACTTGTCTGATGCGTATTTATACGTATATCTACGTACTTGGGCGAGGAAGAGATTGAAAAGAAACTTTGAGTACATAGCGAGAGCTGCTGCTGCTCTCTTGCTCGCTTTCGCAAGTAAAACAGGGAAAGAAGATGGATATGCTAATCGAAACCAGCAGCAGCCACAATGATCCTTTTTTCGTGCCAACCCAACGGTATATACATGCGAGCCCGAGCGTGCGCTGTTTTTTTTCCCCCTTTTTTTTCGACCACACCGTACGCTGCACTTTCATTAATCTGAGCCCAGACTTACCATGTACGTGCGTGGGTGCTGCCGCTGGCCGATACGTTTGTATATGTGTAACGTACTCACACACGTGTTACATGTATGCAAAAGAGAGAGAGAAAAGAGGGAGAGAGAGAGAGAAATGTATAATCATGCATGGACGATCGAAACAATGGCCGACTCCATCTGTCGCTGTTTACATTTTTCCGAGTACCTATAGGTTACACGTGCCCGCGCCTATGTGCTGCACGTTTATGTCAAGGCGGATCTCTTTCCACACAGACCCTCAATTCCGTGTGCTGTCTGACTATAGCTTCTCTTTCCCTCTTGTTATTAAATATTTTCGTCATCAATCTTGCAGCTCGATCTTTATCTTAGCCTATATCTGCATATTGCAAATCGATTTTTACATCAACCCATTGTGTGCAGTATACATTTTCAGAGCAGCTTCGTGCAAATAAAATTCGTGAAAAAAATAATGAAATTCTGGCGATTTTGCGTTTACGAATTCCTGCGCACAAAATTTTGCAAAAATAGAAGATGGATCGGATGGGGATGCGGCCACCTCTGGGCACAAGAGCTGCGGAGAAAGACGAAAAAGCGTAGAAAAGCCTGAAGGAATTTTCATGCATTTATTATACATACGGTCGCGCGCGTATATGAGTAAAATGGGCTCGAGCTCTGGATTCTGCATTGGCTAGGAGGCCAGATCTTTTTCTCCTTCCCTCTCTCCCTCTTCCTCCGCTCTTGCATACAAACGGCGCCCTTGGGAGTGTAAACCGACGCAGGGCCCGGGGCGAGCAGCAGTGCGCCGAATTTTTTTCTCTCAAACTCCAGAGTAGCGTGTGTAAGCCGATATATAGTATATGCAACTTTGTTACTATACGAGGGCCGAGAAAAAAAGGAGATAAATTCGCTCGTCTAAATAGCCGATGAAATTCATACGCAACGAGCGAAAGAACCGCTAATGGACCTGCACTCTGTCTCTGTCTCTCTCTCTCTCTCTTTCCTTCTCAGTGTTGTTTGTATACCTACACACAAATACACCCAAACAGTGCACACATGCACACACAATACCGTAAGCAATTCATGCGTTTGTTAAGCGGCCTGAAATCCTATATGCGTCTCTTATCTCGGCTCATTGTGGCGAATGTATGCGTGTATGACCTCCATTATACAAATGCAATGATAAAAGTACTAGCAGCCATTCGTACAAGTTTCTCTTTCCTGTTATGTATCAGTGCCGTACGATTCGATTGCTTGGGATTTCGTCGGGGACGGAGAGAGCGAAAGAGAGAGAAAAAGCGAGAAAGATATGAAGCACAAAGATGAAGATATGAAGCGTATGCTTCAAAATGAATACTTTGCCGAATCATCAATGTTTTTACCGAAATATTCAATCAAAGGTCCATCTGTGTGAATCTTTGCTTTTACAGCAGATGAACACGAGTTGTATATGACCGTGCGCACATCCATCTGCAGCTCGAGTGATTAACAATTTAATTACTTCCGAGTCGCGTACAATCATGTTTGCGATATCTCGTGTACTTGACACAATGTTCTGTTCTATACACATTCTCGATAACAACAACGGCAACTGTAACGGCAATAACAACAATAACAACAACAACCACCAACGTGAATACTCATTCACGTTTCTCACAGGCATATACGCGAAATAACTAACTACTCCGTTTCGCTCGTGGCGATTTCCTCGGCATTTATCTGTTTTTGACTGAAGATCGTTAATGCAAACTTGAGCAAAGCGCGACGCTTAAATGATTCTATTCTCCTGTGTAATTTCGATTATCGGGCTCAGGATGTTGGCACATTTTTAGTAGTTATTCTCGCGAGTATTGTTTGCATCGAGATGAAAGGCGCGGGGAGGATTACAATGTCACTGATGGAATTTTTTTGTACTGCACAACTTTGGAGGCGAGAATGATCGTGGTAATTATTTTTCTTGATGTTGCGATAAGTGTATATTAAAGTATTATGTACATGGGACTCACAATACCCGAACATGATCGTACAATCTCAAGCTGCGAATGACATTTCTTTTTTTCAAAATCACGATTGTAAGTGAATACACGTGCGTATCAACAAAGAGTATGAATTCTCACTGGCATTACATCGCGTCGCGGTTCATTGTTGCAAAGATTCGTCGCGACGCCTAAGAAAAGAATCCGTTGGATTTTTTTTACAGATCAGCCCTTACAATACGCAATCAAAATGTTGGCTATCATGCAGCTCGCCTTGGCGGTATGGTAGGACGAATGGAACAAGGACGGGACGAGCGATCGATTAATTTCCACTAGCTCGAGGCTAATTCATCGCCTGTGTGGCGTCGAGACGTAGCCAGACCAAAGTACGTATAGGCTACTGAATATATATCTATATGCGGTATACACGCTGCGAAAGGGCAACGGTCGACTTACGGTGTTTGATGAGCAATCGTGGTAATGGATCCATGGGCCATGCTTGGGCTGCAAGGGCGAGGGTCGCCAGACAGTAGATTAGCAACGCCATGTCCATATCCTCCTTTGGCAGGAGCTTTCACGGCGGCACAGGCACGCGCGCACACACACACACACTCACACCGCAACACACGGCAACTACTCCGGAACACTGCACCGCTGCCGCGTGCTTGGGAGTCGAGCACCGAAGTCGCTCAGGTCCTATTGGCACCGAAGAACATCCGAAGGCTCGCCGTCAGCAGGCTAGCTTTAGTCTTCCCGTCGTCATCTCGTCTTCGACGCTGTCGTCGTCGTCGTCGTCAGCTTCGCCTGCGTCGTCCTGGGAGCCCTGCGAATCGTGTCTGCACCTGCAATCAAGAAAATTCGTTTCCATCGATTAGAGATCGATTCATGAGCGCGATTCATAGGCATGTTTGCCGAGCGTATATTTATAAAAGAAAAAAAGGGAAAATAATGCGAATCACGGAATTCTGCGATCGATTGGAAAGCAGCCTACACGAACATACGCGAGCTGGAGGATATTTTTTGAGCAGCTCGGTCAGTGCAGGCAGCTCGGAGTACTGCAGCCGAGGCGCTTTCACCTGCGAGCCGTATTCATAACGCATGCCGCGCACACACGAGCTTACGCACGCATATAGGTGCAGGAAAGTTGCAGGCAGGCAGGTTGCATCAGCTTTTAAAAGGCTTTATAAATAAATCACCATAAGAGTCGAGAGCCGCGGCGGAGAGTGAGAGACCGGTCGCGATCTCGTGCAGCTTGTGTACACGGCACAAAGGAGAAAACGATGAATTCCACTCTCACTCGCACTCGAGTACCATGCTAATTTTCCAATACGATACACGCATTCGCAGGAGGCAGTAAGAGACAGAGAGAAAGATAGGAAGGGAAGTGGAAAATACTCCTGCAACAGACGGTATTCATGTGACAATTGCGTGCTTTTTTTCTGCCGCTGATTCTTTCCGAGGTTTCGATCCATCGTGCGCTTCATCTCCTCGTACAGTGCAACTTTACATGTTTTTAAGAATGTATAAGGCAACCATTCAAATTGCATAAAAATGCATTTACATACATTTTTTTAATGCAAAAATAAAAGGAAAAAAGACGTAGTCCGCACTCAAATTAAAACTTTTTAATTGAATCATTTTAATACTGATTTATTTTTTGCGTTAATTTCTCAAACAACTTGGAAAAATTCAATCACAATTGAAACCATTCCTCACCGCTAGATGGCGAGTACTTTTATCTGTAAATCTGCAAGTGGCAAAGTCGAAATATATGTATAAGATAAAGCAAGGTTTTATTGTAAAAGTACGTACGTTTTGGCGATAGCCCGAGTATACATTTAATGGAATTCATGATTTACATTAGAATAGTAAAGTATAAGATAAAACTACGTGAAATTTAATTAAAATAACTACATTTAAAGATCTTTACATTAATTTTGATGTAAATATTTTCAACATGGTTTTTTATTACATGTAAGGGCGCATGTGCGTTTGATTGCAGTATTTTTACTCTCTCTTTCTCTCTCGCTTGCTCTCTAGCTGCAATACGCGCAGGTGTAACGTCCCACCTCAGCTAGGTAATTTATATATTTGTCACAATTATTACTCACGGGAAATCGTATAGCCGTACGTCTTGCGTAAGCTGTCCTTTTCGCGAATATAGTCTCTCTCTTTCTACCTCTCGCACTGTCTTACCATCGTGCGGTCATCGCGCGACCAATGAAGCGCCGCACCTCAACGAGTGAACTTGGAAAATGTGATACCACCTCGGCAAAGCCGTCGAGAGCACATCGCCTATATATGTATATAACGTATAATCCAGTGTGCCACGAGCACTCGAGAAAACTCCGAAGAAAATTATCCGGAATTTCAGCGCCCCTACGCTATATCATGATGTGCGGGTATCGCTCAGCCGAGTCTGCTACTACGCTACCGAGAGCAAATTAAGCAGTCTCTACCGCGCGCGCTACGTATATATACCGAAAGGAAGGATTTTCATTCCGCTCTAGCTGCGGTCTATCGCTCGAGCGCAAGCTCATTATTTTCATCGAATAATTCTGTAACAGGCGTAATGCCTCTTTTTTCATTCCTGATCCTGATCGTCGGCTATTAAAAGCGTTTAAATAAAGTTGCGTACGCGACAAAGAGTAATGTACGCGCGCGAACTTTGGCCTCGTGTTTTCGGACGCAGTGGGAAACGAGAATTGTTCAAATTTTGTGTAGGCGCCCAAGCGCAAAGATATTTCAAAATTTTCTCCGTTCGAGTTATATCATACACCGTATAGGCCAAGCAAAGAGAACGAAAGAGGGAGGAGAGACAGAGAGCTTGGTTCAATTTCAAAACGCTAAAGTTACGGATGATAGTGAGAAAAGGTGACAGCACCTGACTTTCCTCTCTCTCTCTCTCTCTCTCTCTCTCTCGCGTGCTACAGCGAGCGAAAGACAAAGTTGTATGTACGTATGCGCTTTGCCGAACTGCGCGCGAGAGTATAAGTGCGAGCTCTGGCTGCGTGTGTGCGAGTATACGTCTGACAGAGCCACTTCCTGTCGGAATGCATAATTAAATTAATCTCTGGCGCTGCAGCGCAGGAGCTTGTGCCGCGTTTCCTATACACCATATGCAGCTCCGACGCTGCCAAATCCAAAGGCTAGGTCTCTGAGTCAAAATAGCTATATAGAGCTAGATAGCTGGTGCATAGACAGAGACACGCACGGCACACAATGAAGCGAAATTTGGACCACCAGCTGCTGCTGCTACTGCTACTGCTGCTGCTGCCGTGGGACTTTTCGAAGCGAAGAGAAATGTGGGTACACCTCTTCGCGCTCTGTCTCTCTCTCTCTCAAACGCAGACTCAGCAGTTGAGTTACACAAATAGCTGGACTCTGCACCGAGAGAGAACATGCTTGCATATGCATGCCGAAGGAAGCGTGCGCCAGAGAAAGAGACTCCATCCAGCTTGAACCTACATAACTATGTGTGTCAGTGCAGCCGACGCTCCAAACTATTATGCCAATGGCTGCGAGTGCGCGCCGATCTTTTCGTTGAATGCATTCCGCAAAAATATTGATTTCGAGCCTCGAGGCCACCCAAACGTGACGCCGCAGCTATATATAAACGCGCACGGAGTTAATTAATAATCAAAATTGGATTAAAATTGAACTTGATTCCAGCTCGTTCATATTTACGACGATATTCGAAAAATTTTGTAATAATTCCAATAGATTCGCAATACCATGATGCATAAAATAGAATTCAATTGTTCATAATTCAACTTTTGTCAATGAAAATTTGATCATGTCGCTATTACTAATATTGCCTAGACGCTCGATGATTAAATGAAAGTGCCAACGAGTAATGTAATAACAAGAATCGATCAAAGCTAATGTCAAGCTTATTTCTTCTGATTGATTGCATGGGGACCTTGTGTTAATAAATCGTAACAATGGGATAAAACTCGGGAAGAGAATCGTGTCGAAAGTCAAATTTCGTAAACAATATCCTCGCGCGCGATTAAAATCCAATTCAAAGGTCACGTGCGCGCACACGGCGGACGCGATGATTTCAAAGCCGAAGATAAACAGAGGCCCAATTATTTATCGTTCGAATTATCGCATATCACGCCCGATCAAAAACGAGTCGAATAATAATATAAAATATACGTGCTGCTGCGAGAGAGAGCCTATATACGGGAGCGACTCGAAATAATATTGCGCAAGCCTCGTTACGTCCTGATTCCAGGTCTGAAGCCGCGAGAGAGTACACACAATAAAATAAAAATAAAAAATGGAAAAAAAAGTAACCCACATCGACAGGCTGTCGATGTATACATACAATAATATACATTTATTTCGTCAGTGGCAAGTCAACAAATAATCACGACGCGAATATTCCAAGCATTTAGCCTATAGACAAATGCGGGCCTCGACCGCGCAAGAGATCTCGAAAAAGCTGCACACAACAAAAGCCAATTAAAGCGATTGCAAAAGGATCGCGCGCCCCGATACACACGTATATATACACACAATACCTATCGACGTGCTGAGAGCAGCAGCGGCGGCGGCAGCAGCTGCTGTGTGTATAGGTCCGATATATCGTAACGAACGCAGTTCACTTACACACACACACAGACGTAATATGGATGCAAATCGACAGAAGGTGTCCACGCTTGCATCAGTGTATGTATGTGTGTGTGTGTGTGTGTTTGTGTGTGAACGTGTACGACTTGGACACGGTCAGCGAGCATCGTAACGACGTCGTCGGGTAACGCCCTTGTTCACCTCCGTGCGACGTCTATATATGTGTGTATTATACGGCACGAGTCGATTCAAAGCTCGGCTGCATTAATCTACTGCTGTGCTCTGGGCCCGAACTACATATAGCCCTCTGTAGCGTGTAAAGACAAGTACGAAATTGATTGGACTTACTATTCGCGTTTCTCGGTGCATGTGCTCCGGCCCCCCTCGTGTAAGGACTCGATACCGTGCTGCAGCGCAGCTACAATGTTCTATCCCACCCAATCGCAACTTTTAAATGCCCCTCAGCTAAATCTCAAGTTTACGCTCTAATCAATACATTCCCAACAATTCATATTCCTGTCGAGTACGTGCAGCTCGAGAAAGTTCGAAAAACGAAAATTATTCGCAACTTATACTTCTCGAGTGAAAGTATCGATTGATAATTATTTTTCCAATGATGCAGTAGGCCTCATTTTTACATAATTGCTACATTTGAAAACTTATAACATCCTGAAATGCTGTTTATTTGCAAGTCGGACGATTTGACACACGCTGTTGGGTAGTACAATGGGACAGCACAAGTTCAGAGGTGACATGAGAATATTTCCGATATCGCAGCTCTGATGGACTTTTACACTGTTTCATGATAATTATCTAGTCGCGGAAGAGAGCAGATTTAGACATTTTTCAATAGTTGGAGAAAACAAGATCGAACGTTTGCGGGCCCGAGCGATACGCGCGAGGCCATATCCGATTATATATCTGCGGTACGAGCGTCAATTTTTCGATTCCGAACGTTTAAGCGGACTTTCTCCTTATACAATTTTCTACTGTTTTCTGGCGTATATGTGCGGAACAGTCGTGCTGCGCCAGCTTCGACTCAGCTACTTAGATAAGTATCGCATGCATACATGCGAAAGCATTTCTCATTAGTTTGAACTAATATGCACTGATCAAAGCGCAATTTCTCTAGTCGACACGAGCTCCGTGGCATTGCTTTGCAACAGACCTTCGTTATATTATACGATGCAGCAGCAGCAGCAGCGGCGGCGTGTACATTTGAGCTCTCTTCGACGATGATGAAAACGCCGAGGACGCGAAGCTG